CATTGAAGCTGAAGGATACGTTCTCTTTCTTTTCGCTATCTCATATTCCACGCACCCTCAATGCTAAAGCCAATAGGCTTGCGAATGGTGCCCGAGTAGCTAACTCTGATATTTTCTTTGTAAACTTTTCCCCACGTCTTGGATAGCCGAGCCGTGGTAAATTAGTTTATTATCTTGTTGACAAAAAAAAGAACACACACACACATTTAAGATAAAGAAAATTATTCGATTTTGTTTGGAAAAGTTTGTGTCAGCAATTAAAAAATTTGGGACATGCATAAAATAATACTAAAACTAAACCATATACGCAATATTAGATCAAATACTATGCGATAAAAATCAGCTAATTGATTCATAATTTCTATAAAATATATTAACAAAGTAACAATTTTTAGTAATTTTTGATTTTTTCGGTTATGTTTTTGTAAAATTAGAGTTTGTTTAGGGTAATGAAGTATAGAATTTATGTACCATCGATTTTTGCATGTTATATGAAAGAAATATATATTAATTTCTTATAATTTAATATTAAATGTTAAATGTATAATATATCAAGTTATATGTTCGCTAGTCAAATAAATAAGAAAAATTTCAAAAAATGCCACTTTTCAAGTGTCACTTTACAAAAATGCCACACTTTTGAAATCTTTACAAAAATGCCACTTTTTAAAAATTATTTTTTCTTTATATTATTTATGTTTGGGTTAACTATATTCTATTAGGGTTTAGTTATGAGGGTTTATGGGGGTTTAGGGATCAAAACATTTTTTAGTGTTTAGAATTTTAAAATATAGGGTTTAAAAATATATAATTAGTGGCATTTTGCAAATGAACATCTCTAAGTAGCATTTTTTCAAATGTGCACATAAAAAGTGACGTTTTTGCAATTTCCTAAATAAATAATTAGTTTTGTGTTGGATGTAAAATCTTAATTTACAATTTTTAAACTACTATTTTTTCGATATTGTCGAATCCAATTGAAACTTTTGACATTATCCCAAGATTACAAAACACTCGCCGAGCCAACGGTATTGATTTGGGTTATGAATCGGCCCAAATACAGAGTTATGGATCGGCCCAAATTGAGAGAGGTAGATTCCCTTTTTCTCTCGATTACAATCCCATATTTCCCTTCTTATTTCTTAGGGTTTT